CTTTGTGCCCACGTCCAAGCCAATTTACCAATTTTGTATATATGTTTCGTACGAGCTAAAAAGGCGAGCGTCTTTTAAAAATAATCCCAGCAAGCGGGAACAGGTTTTCTCTTAGAGGACAATCCCCCTAGACTGCAAGGCCGTATTGAGCATCTCTTTAATTCATTCAGTGATAATATTATGGTGCATACTATACTGGTCTCCTAATTATAACGCATTTTGTCGCCTTAGTTTCTCTAACTCATATCTTAAAGCACAAAGTTACTGAAGCGCAAACAATGGATTGTTTATACAAATTTTGCATGCTAATTTCACGTCACATTTCCTTCATATTCACACACTGGCTTTTACCTATTCTTAAAGTAATGCATCCAAATTAAGACCCTTGATAAGAAATTTAAAATAAATAGAAATGTTTGCCTCCTGAATAATCACTCTTTATAAGATAAGAGTTTCAGAAAGTAAGGCATCGACATGTATTTTGATAAGAAAGATACTGACAAAAGATGCTCATCCCCAAGCAGTTTTTACTAAAAGACAATTATTAGGAATATTCATTAAGGAGGTGCCAAAATGTATAACAATCTTCCAAAGCAGATCAAAGAAATATATTCCTTTTAGTTTGTTATAATTATTAATACAGACATCGAACGCTCAGAAAAAAATCTTTCGATTAGGCCGGATTCGAACCGACGCGACGTCGGGAACCCACGTCACGTAAACCACGGGAACGATCCTCACGAATTTTTCTATGTGCATGCGTCGTATCTTTGTAGTTTGGTTTTTCAACGACTTTTTTACTCGTAGCGCCATCTATGAGAAATCTCATCGAAATATCATAGATTTCATTGTATAAACGAATGTCATTGTGAAAACGTGAATTTCTTCTGATGATTCCGATGCTCGTTCGTTATTGTAAGCTTATTTATCTAGTATATCTCATTGTAAGTGAATGTTTGTATTCTGTTTTGAGAAATAAATGTCTTAGACCATAGAATAGGATCGAAATTCATTTGCATGATTCATAGAGTGAGCTTTCAATATAATCCTCGTATTAAAATAACCATTTATAATATGTATAATAATACATCTTTGTAACACATATGAAAGATTGCTAATTATACCTTTTGTTTGACAATTCGGATGTGGGAGTCAAAGAATAAGTAATCGATCCCGCCAACACTACCGTCACAATTGTTTAAAACGGCATTCACATAAGTACGTACAATCAATTGTAAATAAATGTTTAAATCATGTACATTCGCTAATTTCTAGACGTCATTTCATATAAAGTATGTTTTTATACAAGCTCGTTCACAATGACATTGATTGCGCAGAACTTCCATAGAAAATCTCGTTTAATGTACCTCGTACATTGACTTACAATTATATGGACGTCGGGTCCGCGCTAAAAAGTGTCCGCACTTGTAAGGCGCTAAAATCGTATACAGAGCGCCAAACTCCGCTTTAGTTTTCATTTGTTCTACTGACAGCGCGATACTGCGATGACATTACAATTTAAATTTCGAATAGGTTGACTTGGGACATTTTTTTCGTGGTTTTTGTATTAGACCCGTCGTCTATTTATTTGTAAGTCAATGATTACATGTATTATTGTATTAGGTGAAAAGTCGTCTTTTATTTGCGGAAAACATTTTTTTAATTTGTGATAGCCGAAACGAAACTGTAACAGCATAACAGGGCAGGGACCACCTCGAGAGTACACCCTTTCAAACAAAAAAAGAATTTTCAAAAACGGTCCACAATTGATGGAGAAATCGGTATGTACACTGACATGCCTATAGAATGTTAGAATTTTCCTCGATTTCCATGGATCCCCTCGTCAGATTCTGACTTGGTGACAATGGGACCACCACGAGAGTTCGCTCTATCAAAACAATAATTTTCAAAATTGGTCTACAATTAACGGACAAATCGGAAAACGTACACAAAACATATATACAGCCGAATGTATAACCTCCTCCTTGTTTTGAAGTCGGTTAAAAATATTTTCCTCAGGCGATCGTGTAGTTTTTATGATAAGTCTCTTTATAATATTGCTAATTCCTAAATACATTTAAAATAAAAGTGGGAGAACTGACATGCTAGGGATTCTAATGCATATTTTTATTATATTACGCTTAGAATAATAACGCATAGAAACCTAGTCCGCACACGCTAAGTGAGGCAAATTGAAGCGCGCCAAAAGGGCCTACAGGAGCGGGCGGGCCTTCAGTGCTCAAGGTCAACTTGCACCGCGAACAGATCAAGAATTTTAGCTAAAAATGACGCAATGTGCGGTAAACGAGTGTAAAAATACGTCAGACAAACATAAAATAGATACTAACATCACATTCCACATGGAAGTAGCGCGTTTCAACTTGTATTTTATATAAATATTCACTAAAACCGAAAATAAACCTACTACTAAAACTAGCCTACATGAGTTTTATTTTTGCCTCACTTGTGACAGTTCGTTTGATATGAAACTATCGTTCTTAAGCGTTATTATTCTAAGATATTACGTATATCTTTGTGTCTGTAATGTGAACATTTTGGCAGTATACAGATAAGTAAATATTTTGCATCCATCACATATTTGCACAATTTATATTATATGTTTTAATGTAGGTTACTATAGGTCTATTTTTATTCACTGTTCTTAGATAATTGTTTGTACATACATGACTGTTTGTTACCTGAATAAATAAATAAAAAAGCACATCAAGCTACTATACATTTTTACTCGAATATCGCCTCCAGTGCAACGGAATAAAAACTATCGTCGTATTTATTGGCAGTAGAGCTCCTTGTGAAAGAGTTCGTCCATGGAAGTACTGCCACCTTACCTATTTCTGCCGCCAAGCAGTAATGTCAGCATTACTGTGTTCCGGTTTTGAAGGGTAAGGGTGTTGGTGAAATTACAGGCACATGGGACTTGTCAACTTATGT